CGATATCTCAAAGAAAAAAAAAATATATTCTAATCCGTAAACCGAACAACGATATTATTTTAAAAAATTTGAAAGAATTGACATATGTGTTTTGTTTATATAAATGTGTTTAAGATTTTTCTTAATCGTCGTTCCATGTGGTAATTAATAATCTCTCCTTTCTAGTTTCTAGAGTAATATAATTTGTCCTTTACAAGATTTGCTTAAAGTTTTTTAGCAAAAGAAAAAAAAAGATTTGCTTAAAAGTTGTTACAAAATTAAACTCGAAATTAAATCTCACACTATAGATATGCATTAACAAGAAGTATCTAAAAATACAACTTCTTTTCTTTGACCGAAAGAAAAGGCAATATTACTATAAATCAGTGGTTGATAGAAACTTTGATGTTTCGTCCTTTAGTCAGCTAAGTTTTAATTAGAAGTTGGTTATTTCGTTTTCCCATGAGCCGTTGAATCAATAAGAAAAAACTTAGACCACAAGCAACAAAGAAAACTCTTTCTCTTCTCCTTTGGTCGATACCTAATTCGTAAAATGGCTCCTCCGTACTCGTCGTCGGACGATAGTCATTCTCCGGTGAACTCGACGGTCATTGCCATTGACAAAGACAAGCATAGTCATTACGCTGTTCGTTGGGCGGTCGATCATCTCCTCAGTTCGATTCACAATCCAATCATTATTCTCCTCCATGTTCGTCTCAGAAACTCAAATTGTAGGTACCTTCTTCTCAGTTTGCTTTTAATCTATACACCAAAATTTGAAATTAGTTTTCTACGTTTCCTTGCAACACACGTCTGAAATTATTGCTCTATTTCCTTAATTTATTCCATTTGTATATATTCCATTGATTCTTTTAACTATATATATATATTTTTTCCCCATATTGAATTAACCTCAAATGGTGAAACTGTAGAAGAATGCAAATTTTACACGCTTTTTATTCATCTAATTGTATATCCATTTGCACGCTTAGAGTCAGTAGGATTACATTTCCTTGCAACGCACTTCTAAAATCTCGAAGGTTTTTGAGTGAATTGCAGATGGAGGGAATGGAAGCAACTTAAACAATGATGATCTAAATCAGTTTTTTGTTCCATACCGAGGATATTGTGCACGAAAAGGGGTATATATAAATTCTTCCTCTAATTCATTTGAGCATGTTGTTTTGCATACATAAGCTCATATATGTATGTTTTCATGCAGATTTCTATGTCGGAGGTTATTCTGGAAGATTCGGTCGTGGCAAAAGCAATCTTGGAATATGTTAATAACAACCTAATTAACAATCTTGTGTTGGGAGCATCCTCGAAAAACACCTTTGCTAGGTCTCTTATGTTTAGTAAACCCCATGATCAGGTGCAAACTACCATACTAAAATCCACGCCTGAGTTTTGTTCGGTCTATGTAATTTCTAAAGGAAAAGTTCAGTCTTCTCGACCAGCTCAAAGACCAATTACCAATACACTTGCCCCGCCTCGTGTACCTTCGACCGGGTTTCTAATCAATTCGTTATCAGATAGCGAGCAAGATCTTGTATCTAGGTAAACCAACCCTTTGGTTTCTTCTATCAATTTTTATTTTTGTAATGTTTAGAGCCGGCACTCAAACTCAAGACCTGGTCTATCTATTTTAGTCACTTCTTGATTGCATTTTTGATACATTTTAGGGACCAGCGTAATGCGGAGATGTATCTACACAATCGTGCCTTCAACGCAATGCGAGCTGGAAGGCAAAGCACAGCAAATGGGTCCATAGATTTTAACAACGCCTTTACACAAGTTGCATCCAAAAGGAATCCCACAACAAGAATGTCATTTTCTGATGAATCTGATGTTGGATCTGTCATGATGGGTTCCATTGATCTCTCTGCTCACCATATAGATTTTTTTGGTGCATCGAGTTCTTCAGACGAGTCAATTCCCCAATCAACTGTATGTTTAGACTTGAAGAACTCTTTTTTCCGATTTTTAAGAAAAGAGATTAGAAGCTTTAAGTTGCATGGTTGTTGGTCTATTTGCAGAAAGACATTGAAGCTGAAATGAGAAAGCTAAAGATTGAACTCAAGCAAACCATGGACATGTATAGCTCAGCTTGTAAAGAAGCACTCACAGCAAAGAAAAAGGTAGATGAAGTATATACTTTTTAGTTTGAAGAAGTTTCTTGTTGCATAAGGTACTCATGTGGCTTCTGTTATGTTTCCTAGGCAAACGAGCTAAATCAATGGAAAATAGAAGAAGCTCGTAAATTCGAGAAAGCGAGGCTTTCTGAAGAAGCAGCATTGGCAGTTGCGGAAATGGAGAAGGCAAAGTGCATAACGGCCTTAGAAGCAGCTGAGAAAGCACAGAGAATGGCAGAGCTAGAAGGGCAAAGAAGGAAGCAAGCAGAGATGAAAGCAATAAGTGAAGAACAGGACAAAGACCGCGCAGTGAGTGCTTTGGCACATCAGGATGTACGGTACAGAAGATACACAATAGAAGAGATCGAAGAAGCCACTGAGATGTTTGGTAATCATAGGAAAATAGGTGAAGGAGGATATGGACCTGTGTACCAAGGCCAACTTGACCACACTCCTGTTGCTATTAAAGTCTTGAGACCTGATGCTGCTCAAGGGAAAAAGCAATTTCAACAAGAAGTAAGA